AGACCAGGGATCAGCAACCTTTGGCATGCGGCTCGCCAGGGTAAGCACCCTGGCGGGCCGGGCCGGCTTGTTTACCTGCCGTGTCCACAGGTTCAGGTAATCGCAGCTCCCACTGGCCACGGTTCGCTACTCCAGGCCAATAGGGGCTGTGGGAAGCGGCGCGGGCCGAGGGATGTGCTGGCCGCTGCTTCCCACCGCCCCCATTGGCCTGGAGCGGCGAACCATGGCCAGTGGGAGCCACGATTGTCTGAATCTGCGGATGCGGCAGGTAAACAAATCGGCCCGGCCCACCAGGGTGCTTACCCGGCTGGGCCTCGTGCCGTAGGTTGCCGATCCCTGTTTTAGACCTTTCTCTGCTAGACTGAAGAGCCCATTATTAAATATGTTTCCCAGGTAGATACTTGTAGACTGTGATCCAGTCACCCCTTCACCTTTTCTTTGTCAAACTAAAAAGATTGAGCTCTTTGAGTCTGTCACTATGAGGCAGGTTTTCTGATCCTTTAATTGTTTTCATGGCTCTTCTCTGAAGCTTCTGCATTTTATCAACATCCTTCTTTAATTGTGGGCTCCAGAACTGGACACAGTATTCCAGCAGTGGTTGCACCAATGCCAAATAGGGAGGTAAAATAACCTCTCTAGTCCTACTCTAGATTCCCCTGTTTATGCATCCCAGGATTACATTAGCTCTTTTGGCCACAGCATCACATTGAGTGCTCCTGTTCAGCTGATTATCCACCACAGTCCCCAAATCTTTTTCAGAGTCACTGATTCCCAGGATAGAGTCCCCAAGCCTGTAAGTGTGGCCTGCATTCTTTGTTCCTAGATGTATACATCTACATTTAGCTGTATTAAAATGCATATTGTTTGCTCACATCTAGTTTACCTAGTGATCCCGCTCTCTCTGAATCAGTGACCTGTCCTTGTCTTTGTTTATTGCTCTCCCAATTTTTGTCTCATCTGCAAACTTTATCAGTGATGATTTTGTTTTCTTCCAAGTAGGGCTATCAAGTGATTTAAAAAAAATTAATCACACATTAAAAACATTAATTGCGTGATTAATCATGCTGTTAAACAATAATAGAATACCATTTAAATATTTTTTGATGTTTTCTACATTTTCAAATATATTGATTTCAATTACAATACAGAATATAAAGTGTACGGTGCTCACTTTTTATTTATTTTTGATTACAAACATTTGCAATGTAAAAATGATAAAATAAATAGTATTTTTTCAATTCTCCCATTACAAGTACTGTAGTGCAACCTCTATATCATGAAAGTTGAACTTACAAATGATGAATTACGTACAAAAAATAATGACTTTGTTTTTGAATGCAATGTAAAACTGTAGAGCCTACAAGTCCACTCAGTCCCAGGGCCGCCCAGAGGATTCAGGGGGCCTGGGGCAAAGCAATTTCGAGGGCCCCTTCCATAAAAAAAATTGCAATACTATACAATACTATATTCTCGTGGGGGCCCCTGTGGGGCCCGGGGCAAATTGCCCCACTTCCCCCCCCCCCCCCCCCCACAGGCGGCCCTGGGAAAAATAAACCTTCCGCATCTCGGCACAAACCCAGGTTTGAGAAAACTTCTTTACAAGGTATCACTGGTTCTCAGCATCAGCTAGTGCTAAAAGGCACTAAAGCTCATTAAAAGGGTTGGACAAATATTTTCCGTCAAAACTTTTTTTGGATCGAAAACGAGGGGTTTTTAAAAAGCAGAAAAAATCACGGACAATGTCTACTTTCCTTCAAAATTTGTTGTGTTTTTTTTAATTGAAAAGCTGAAATTAGTCTGCCAAAACCTGAATATGGTTTGGGGTTTCAGAAGTGTGTGGCCAAATATTTGCTGCTTGCTATGTTTGATTGTTTAAAGAAACAATAAACAAATTCTGCTTAAAAAAAAATCCAAAACTTTTGAACCACTTCAGCTTGTGACCAAACGCCTGAGCCCATCCAGTCAGAGATTTTTCCAGGTTTCTGATACTCTGCTGGCTTCCTTGACTCATATCTGTGTCCATAACTTTGGGTTAATTTAGGTTAGAACATAAGAACAGCCACACTTGGTCAGACCAAAGGTCCATCCAGCCTAGTATCCTGTCTACCGACAATGGCTAATGCCAAGTGCCCCAGAGGGAGTGAACCTAACAGTTAATGATCAAGTGATCTCTCTCCTGCCATCCATCTCCATCCACCCTCTGACAAACAGAGGCTAGGGACACCATTCCTTACCCATCCTGGCTAATAGCCATTAATGGACTTAACCTCCATGCATTTATCTGTTTCCTAGAGACTGGCTCCATGGGGTCCCTCACAAACTGGAGACGGTTACTGTGGGTTTGTCTTTAGTATAGCTTATGTACATACTCCACGAACTGAGCATTTGAGCTTGTTCCAGAATCTGGGATGAGCCTATGTTGTGAAAACTGAAATGCTCAAAATAGCACATGCATGTGAATGGACACAGGGTGCTAAAATTAAATTAACCCAGGGGGTCTCAAACTGGGGGTCGGGACCCCTCAGGGGGTCACGACGTTATTACTGGGGGTCACGAGCTGCCAGCCTCCACCTCAAACCCCACTTTGCCTCCAGCATTTATAATAGTGTTAAATATATAAAAAAGTGTTTTTAATTTATAAGGGGGGGGTCGCACTCAGAGGTTTGCTATGTGAAAGGGGTCACCAGTACAAAAGTTTGAGAAACACTGAATTAACCCCTCTGAAGCCTCAGGAAATGCAGGGGAGGGGGGTCTCCCTTGCTAGGGTTCGGAAGGAGATAGGTGGTGTAGGATATTGCTCTTCTCATATGATCCCTCCCCCAGTGGCTAATTTTAAATGAAGCTACCCTCCCCTGACATGAATCTCCCTATGGCACTGAAATTAATTTGACATTTGAGAAGTGAAAGGGACGGCAGCCCTAATGGAAAAGTTAACAGCTTGGCTCTTCTGCAAGCCTCAAACTGCTGATGAGCTTTAGGGTAGGGAAGGCTGTGCCTCCCAAACAGCCTGGCCCTGCCCCCTATCCGACCCCAATCCATATCCACTGCCCACCGACTGCCCGCCACTCTCAGAATCCCCAGCCCATCCTGCTCCTTGTCCCCTCACCATCCCCCAGAGATCCCCCCAACCACCATCCTGGGACCCCACCCCCACAGACCCCCCTGCTCCCTGTCCCCTGACTGCCCCGACCCCTATGCAGCCCCCCGCTGACTCCTGACAGACCCCCAGAACGCCCATGATCCAACCCCCCCGTTCCCTGTCCCCTGACCACCACCCCCCGACCTCTGCCCCCTCCCTGCCCCTTATCCAAACCCCCCCGGCCACGGGCCCCTTACCTCCGGCTCCCCCCTCACCCGGAGCCTCAGCGCGCCGCATCCAGGAGCATCCCTGGACAGCGCTGCAGCGTGGCTCCGGTGGGGCCTGAGCTCCTCCCTGCTCAAAGCCGCATGGTAAGGGGGCGGGGCTGCGAGCTCCAGCGGGGCCTGAGCTCCCGCCGCTCAGCCCGGAGCTCGTAGCCCCGCCCCATTACCATGCGGCTCCGAGCAGGGAGGAGCTCAGGCCCCGCCGGAGCCCGGGATGCTCCTGGATGCGCTGAGGCTCCGGGAGAGGGGCGGAGGTGGGGTCGGGCCAGGGAGGGAGCCTCAGCCCTTCTTGTGGGGCCCCTGCAGAGCCCGGGGCCTGGGGCAAATGCCCCACTTGCCCCCCCCCCCGGGCAGCCCTGCTCAGTCCTACTTCTTGTTCAGCCAATCGCTCAGACAAACAAGTTTGTTCACATTTGTGGGAGATAATGCTGCCTGCTTCTTGTTTACAATGTCATCTGAAAGTCAGAACAGGCATTTGCATGGCACTGTTGTAGCCGGCGTCGCAAGATATTTATGTGCCAGATGCGCTAAAGATTCAAATGTCCCTTCATGCTTTAACCACCATTCCAGAGGATATGTGTCCATGTTGATGATGGGTTCTGCTCGATAACGATCCAAAGCAGTGCAGACCGAAGCATGTTCATTTTCATCATCTCAGTCAGATGCCACCAGCAGATGGTTGATTTTCTTTTTTGGACGTTCGGGTTCTGCTGTTTCTTCATTGGAGTGTTGTCTTTTAAGACTTCTGAAAGCATGCTCCACGCCTAGTCCCTCTCAGATTTTGGAAGGCACTTCAGATTCTTAAACCTTGGGTCAAGTGCTGTAGCTATTTTTAGAAATCTCACATTGGTACCTTCTTTGCGTTTTGTCAAATCTGCATTGAAAGTGTTCTTAAAACGAACAACGTGCTGGGTCATCATCTGACATTGCTATAACATGATATATATGGCAGAATGTGGGTAAAACAGACCAGGAGACATACAATTCTCCCCCAAGGAGTTCAGTCACAAATTTAATTAATGCATTATTTTTTTTAATGAGCATCATCAGCATGGAAGCATGTCCTCTGGAATGGTGGCCAAAGCATGAAGGGGCACGCAAATGCTGAGCATATCTGGCACATAAATACCTTGCAATGCCGGCTACAAAAGTGCCATGCAAATACCTGTTCTCACTTTCAGATGTCATTGTAAATAAGAAGCAGGCAGCATTTTCTCCCATAAGTGTAAATAAACTTGTTTGTCTTAGCAATTGGCTGACCAAGAACTACGACTGAGTGGACTTGTAGATGCTAAAGTTTTATATTGTTTTGCTTTTATGTAACAAAAAAAATCTACATTTGTAAGTTGTACTTTCATGATAAAGAGAATGCACTACGGTACTTGTATGAGGTAAATTGAAAAATACTATTTCTTTTATCATTTTTACAATGCAAGTATTTTTAATAAAAATAATAATATAAAATGAGCACTGTACACTTTGTATTCTATGTTGTAATTGAAATCAATATAATTGAAAATGTAGAAAAACATCCAAAATATTTAATACATTTCAATTGTTATTCTATTGTTTAACAGTGTGATTAAAGCTGCAATTAAATTGTGATTAATTTTTTTTAGTTAATCACGTGAGTGAACTGCGATTAATTGACAGCCCTACTTCCAAGTCATTGATAAAAATGTATCTTCTGATTTTAAAATCTATTAATGTAATGGTAGTTCTAATCCTAGTACTTTTTAGCATAGGCAATGCTGTTTGGACTATACTACCTAGAATCTGCAACAAGAAGTAATAATAATTAACATTATCATTTATAACCTATATAGAATAATAGTTGTGCTTGGCACTTTACAATATTGATAAAGACTGAGTCTCTGTCCCGAAGACCTTACAATCTAAGCTGGTCATCCTGCAAAATCATACGATCATAAGTAGTCCCAATGGCTTCAATGGACTGCTCGTGTGCATTAAGTTAAGCAGATGCATACATTTTTGTACAATTGGACCTTTGTGCAGATGAGACAACAGTGAGAAAGTGAATTAAGAGGAGGGAAGCATGTGGGAGAAGGCCGTGTGATTATGAGTATATGTGCTTATCTAGAAGGGAATATGACATGCTTACAACTGTGACTATGCATCAAGATGATGAATGTTTCTAAAAATAAGTGATATTTTGGGTTTGTCGCTGTGCTCAGTGGATTTTTAGCTGTATAGCCAAGGTTGGTGTGTTTCCTTACAAAAATTAAACCCCACGGAGTGTGGTGTATTGTACATATCTGTCTTGTTATACAATTCCCAGCACCCTGCATGTTACAGAGAAATGCCAACACTTCTTTGGATGCTGAATCCTGAGGTTTTGGCAGCTTTGGGCTTTTAGATTCACCTATCACAGTGTATTTTCCTCCTTGGTGTATCAATGACACACCTCTGCTAGGAATTATTACTGTTGCTGGTTAAGCACCTTAGCAGTAAGTTCTAACTTGGGTGGGCTATTGTTTTGTATCTCACATGTCAGAACCCTCCTCCACCAATCAACTTGAGCCTCTGGTTCTGTCATTTGCTTGCCACCTACACTTAAGGTGTATTTGCTGTGGTACCCCGGAGGCACACTCTGACCTGTGATTCACTGGTCGATGGACACCTGTATTCTGCTGGCTATTGATGCATTGCTTGTGACATGAACTCGTGCACTGTGTCTAGCTTTTGATGGAGAGGTGCCCACATTAATTTACAGTAATTGGTCTTTTGCAGGCCGTGGCACAGAGAGACCAACTGACTGAATGGGCTACGAAGAGTGGTCCCAATGGGGGAAATTGGCACTGCCATCGTCTGAGCCAGCCCTGTCCTTTGGCTCAGTGGAACACTTCGGTCTTTGGGGCTGCCAGTCTGTCTTGTTTCACAGCACTAAATTAAACGTTAAAGCATAAGGCACCAGGCTGGGAATTAGGAACCCTGGGTTCATTTTCTGGCTTTGCCACCACCACCTTGCAGGCTTTCGGCAAGTCACTTCATCTCTTTGCCTCAATTTCCCCATCTGTACAACGGGAATAACTACACTTGCTTTCTCCCACCCTTTGTTTGTCTCATCTCTTCAGATCATAAGTTCTTTGAAGCAGGGGTTGTCTCTTAGCAGGTATGTGCAGTGCCTAGAACAAATCGGACCTGATCCTAATTGGGGCCTCTAGGCAACCTTATCCCACACTTGAACCACTGTACTCTGTGGGGACCCTTGAAGAGCAGTACTTTTCCAGGGTATGAATGTTGCTCTGTGGCCTTGTTGATCCTGTCAGCCTCTTTCAGTGGACACTAGTGCCCCAAGAGCCTCCCTTTTTTGCCCTTGTTGGGTCAGCACTGTTCTTTCCTGGAACCAGCACCCATTCCAAGGAATGCCATTTCTTCCCCTCTGGGGGAGGTGGGCTTTGCAGGGACCCCACCAAAACTGTTGATCCGCTGCCCTCTTGGCTGCATTTCCGTCCTCCTCCCTTCCTTTCTTGTTTTCTTCTTTGTAGTTACATTAAGATGAATGAACCAGTTGTGAAACCCCGAGGCCCTCCAGGGACAGATTTCAGATGTTTATTCTTCTCTCACCAATGAAAAGAGAAGGAAAGAAAATGATCAAAAAATCTGCTGCTGTGTCCAAGTGTATAATTAACCCTTTGGGGCCCGGAATGCGTCTGCATACAGGAAACCCTGCACTATCAGGAGCTCTGACTCCAGACAGCAAAGGGTTAGTGTCAGCACTGAGTACTGGGAAGGTAAAAGAGGCCATTGTACAGCAGAGCCTGGTACCAGGGTTTCTGGATGGATTCAGAGAGCACGTGTGGATAGACTCGGTGTGGATGGCAGCTCCTTCCCCAGATAGCCCAGCTGGAGGGATGGGGGATAGCTGGATGTACACAGCCCCACCACACAGCTCTCCAGATTCTTCACCAGCTGTGAATTCAGAGCTTCTCAGACCAGTGATTGAAAAATAATCTGGTCAATTGACTCCTTTACTCAGAGTCATAGACTAGGCCAAGGGTTTTTGAGACTTTGACTCTTGCTTGTAAATAGGGCCGGCACCAGCTAAGGAAGCAGGTGCTTGGGGCGCCCAATACAAAGGGGCGGCACGTCCGGGTCTTCGGCGGGAATTTGGCGGCGGGTCCCTCAGTCCCTCTCTTCCTCTTTGAGCTGCCGCCAAAGTGCTGCTGAAGAGGAAGAGAGGGAGTGAAGGACCCGTCGCCGAACTGCCGCCAAAGAATGGAGCGGCTCGATTGAGCTGCCGCCAAAGTGCCGCCAATCGTTTTTTTTTTTTTTTTTTTTTTTTTGGCCGCTTGGAGTGGCAGAAAACCTGGAGCCGGCCCTGCTTGTAAAACTGGGGTGCTGTTGGTTTGTGGATCTCTAAGGCCTTGTCTACAAATGCCTAGTGTAGCCTCTCTGGTGAGATCTGCACTGGTGTAAATAGTGCAGACTGCTGTAGACACAGATGCAGCTACATCAGGGGTTGAAATTCCAGTGTAGACAAGGCCTAAAACCTAGAAGGGATGCTGGCATTAGGTTGACCAATTCACTACCCATCCTGGCTATTAAATCCCCAAGCTCAGGCATGTGCTGTAAGTACTGCCAGGGGAGGATTTCGGGGAGCTGGTGTGAGATCAGTCTTCAAAGAAGGAGATAAGGGTGTGGCGGGGTCTGATACGTCAGGAGTTTCATACAACCTCAGCAATTAATGGCCAGTGCTGATACTGGAGGGCATGGTTCCTTCCCTCAGCAAGCATCAGAGATGGGAAAGCTCCCTGCCAATCACAAGCAATGGGGGAAGGCAACTCACAGCCAGATTTCCTCCCCCTCAACCTGGCTATGAATGTTGATGGGGGCAATATGATCGAATCTAGTCAAAAGCCCAGTACAATGTACTTTGGGCAGGGAGAGGGAGGTCACTCATGGTCAGGGCGCTATGTATTCCATGATTCTTCAGCTGCAGCACTGGTCAGTGTCCACGTCTTGCCAGAGAAATGCACTAAAGATTGTAACTTTCATTATAAATAACCAACCCCACCCCAAATGGTTGCAAAGAAAACCTGCCAGAAGAAAATTGAGTGTAAGCGGATGCAGTCTTGCCTTAGACAGTCTGACAGTCTTAAACAAGAGAGCTGAGCTGCAGTGTTAACTCTGAAATCCACTGAAGACCACTTAAATAGTTAACGAGGTTCCTATTTCACTGCTGACCCTTTTAGCACAGACATCCAGCTAATGTGCTCATCTCACAATCCCACTCTGCCTCCATCATCTTCCATGCAGCCAAAAGCCCCAACTGCCTCCTCCTCAGCTGCCAAACCTCCCTCTTCTCCACTGCTGAGGTCTACATGGCAGTTTCTACCACACACTGAGAACTGATCTTCAGGGGCTGAGTGAAATTAACAGCATGAAATAACCTGGTGCCCAGACTGGATTATATTCATTGTCATATTTAACGACATAAGGAGCTTCTGTTTTTGTAATTCACCTCCAGCTGTTGTGGAGTTTTCAGTCTGACACCCCAGATTGTCATAGAAACCAAGAGATATTTATACTGGTTGTAGGCCCAACACCTGCACAGTATACCGGGCCTTGCCCACGATGGCTGCAAAAAGCACAGTGTCGAGGGGCATTGGCGCTCCATTGAACGCGGGACAGTGCTGACCCTTGGACTGGAGCATATAGGTGTCTGTCTAAATATGGGGTCATGAGATATGAAGTAGGGAGGGTTTCCTAGGGGCCTTTTCTTTAGCCTGAGTCTGGCCACACTCGTGGGTGTCAGGATATACTCAGGCTGAAGTGTGCATGGTAAGGGGAGCTGAAAGTGGCCCTCAATGCTGTGCTGTGGCCTTGGCTGGCTTTAAGTCCTGTAGCTCTTGCTGCTTTGGTGCCTTCTGAGGGTCAGATCCTGCTCCTGTACAACTCACTGCCAATGATCCCCTTGACTTCAGTGGCACAGGATCACGTTAACGAGGTCAGGGATCTACATGGGGAGATCTACATGGGGGAACCTCTCCACATGGTCCTTCACTTGGTAGATCTATGTCATTAAATTAATCATTGCAAATGGCACAGAGAACTGGGAGGGAGGCAATTGTAACTTAACTTTCCTTGTGTAGCTGAGTGGGGCCCAATGAGGGAGATATAGTATGAGTGTGGAACTGGAGAGAGAAGATCGGGGTGAGGAATGACCCGTGTGAGACCTGAAAATCTCTTGTGTGGAGCACTGGCCCCTCAATACCTAGAACCAAGCTTTCATGGTTTCTGAACTTTGCCTCCTTGCTGCTTCTCTTGTTCCCAATGAAACCACTGCTGCTCTATTGGCTGATAAGCAAAAGCTCCCTGACACAAGCCATGTCCTTCAGACACAGGGCTGGAGCTTCAGTCATAGGGAAATGCTTCTGTAGAAGCTTTCATGTCAGACTGAGCACATCTCATTCCCTGTTATAAAGATAGGGTTACCATATTTCAGCAAGCAAAAAAGAGGACGGGAGGAGCCCTGCCCTAGCCCCGCCCCCGTCCTGCCCTAGCCCCGCCCCTGCCCCTTCCACTCCCTCCCACTTCCCGCCCCCCTCAGAACTTCCACCCCTCCCCCCGCTCCTTGTCCCCTGACTGCCCCCTCCTGGAACCCCTGCCCCTAACTGCCCCCCAGGACTCCACCCCCTATTTATGTACAGGCGTGACTACCTGCCCTTTCCTGGTTATTATACGCGGCCAGTCCGCATCCACATCCAGTAGTTAAAAAAAAAAAAAAAAAACTAATAATTTAAATTGGAATTTCATCCATTAATAAGTATTTATTATATAATTAAAACCATTCTATTGAAGGACAGATATTAAATAACACTAACTAAGTTAATGTTCAAAACAATATTAAAAATTTGAAAATTTAGAGCATGGAAACCAAAATAGCTAAAATTTAGTTTTGGCAAGATACACGGAATGGAAACTCCGGGATCTTTACCTGTCACTGAATATAGCCATCATACCAATAGTGGAATATAAAACAAGTCTACATATACTCTCCTTAAAATTTTTACTTCTGTCCATTCCCAATAATTGTAACAAATCATTATTACCTTCACTCCACCTGCCACGCGCCCCAAGCACAAAACCAAAGAAGTGAATATTTTTACCTCCCGTTAAGTTTTTAATTTCTTCCTCTAACTCAAGATAATAAGCCACCTTCTCACTGTGGGCTTGTTCCAAACTTCCGGCATTATCCTCCCATCGCACTGTAACATCAACCACCACTGCTGTATCTCCTTTTATAAATATAATATCCGGCTTTCTTAACTCACCCTTACTATTTCTCAAATGGGGCTCTATCATTGCCTTCCACCCTAATTTACCAACCTTATCTACAAGTGCAGACACTACTCTATTATGCCTTTTTATCCTAGCATTCTTAGTCTTATAACATTGTCCTGAGATATGGGGAACAGTCTCCCGCACTTTACCGCACCATCTACAAAGAGCATTCACACCTCCTCTTCCTCTTGCTAATGTCTCCCTAGTAGGATAAATATTTGCCCTAAGCTGCAATGCTGCGATATACGCTGACGATTTAACTTTACTAGAGTTTCTAAAAATTGAATTACTAATTAAATCATTTTTAAAATATTTTATCCCTATTCCCTGACATCTCAGTTCCGACCATCTTAAAAATTCCTCTTCCCTCCATTTCTTGGGATGAGATGTTACTGCACTAAATGACAATATTTTATCCACAAGATTTTCTCCTGCATATAGATAAGATAGGTCCATCCAATCATCTCTCGAGACAATATGTCTCCTCCATTTACGAATTAACATATTTGAGATTTGCACACTAAACTTAGTGAGAGCTAAACCACCATCCCTACCTCTAGAATAAAATATCCCATCTGTGGTACACTGAGGTAAATGTAAAATCTCTTTAACTATTTTTCTAACTAACACATCAAGATCGTCTAAAAGATTAAAAGGGGGTTCTATTAAAAGAAGATTATAAAATAGCTTCGGTAAGATATATGTCTGTAAAATTAATATTTTTGGGGCCGGTTTTAATGGGGCCTTAATTAAATTCTCACTCCAATCTTTCAATTTTTCTTTAAGTACCGGTCCCCCTACACCTATCCAGGGATCTATTCTAGCCCCTAAATATTTTTCAAAATCCCCTGGTTGAACATATTCAATCTCCTCTGACCCTATCTGCCAATTATCCTTAGGATTAACTACATAGGTTTTATGTTTAGTTAAAATATGAAAGCCTTTCGTTTTCTTCACATTAACAGAGAGATTAGTATTTTTACAAAACTCCTCTAAGATACCCAAATTTTTAATCATTCCTTTATATGAGCTACTTAAAATTGCCACATCATCGGCAAAAGCCAATGACGTGACACCATTACCCTTAACATAAAAACCACTTCCTTCTACTTCTAATCTAGTTAAAAGGGGATTCATAGCAATATTAAACAAAATTGGGGACAACGGGTCACCCTGCTTGACCCCCCTCCTAATTAAAATAGACTCAGTAGCTTCATCACCCACCCATACCCTAGTTGTGCAATTATCATAAAGGTCCCTAATAATATCT